GGATTTCGGCCCCCGCCCCCTGTCGGCCAAATCCTGGCGCCACCCCTGAATAAAACAGTATTACTCTATTCATTAACATCTAGGTACCGGATAATTTAAGTAAATCTCCACAAAACATATGGGTTAAATGGTGGTTCCACATAATTATTATTTTACATAGCTGGTTAGACACGCGCGTATATTGGCCCTGTTCTGATTGGTCAGATGTTAAGTTTGATTGACACCCCGGAAAGGTCCATTATCGAATAATAAAAGTTTAACATACAGATATTACCAATTTGTGGTTGGCTAATTATCTCGGTATAATCTGACACGTGATTTGTTTGTAACAATCAAGTAATAAATACGTCAACATACAAGGATGCAGTTAGGTTGGCAACTAACGATGCTCTTGGAATAATGACGCCCATAAATGAAGTGACACTAGATACCTGTGATGAGAAAAAAAACATTAAGCCCTGTTCAGACTATCAAATTATATTTGACAAAAACATGTGACATGCCTAAATATGGTCATGATGACATCACATCATGACCATATATAGGCACATCATGACCATATATAGGCACATCATGACTATATACGGGCATACAACAGTTTTTTTTTTCATAGAAAATTTGATAGTGTACCAGAGCTTTAAATTCATTTAAAAGAAAGCTAATATGGAAGAAAGGAAAATAGGAAAGTGAATAACCATTAAATCGCAGCTCCATTTTGCTAAATGGCAGGGGCGGCACGAGGAATTCCCCGACAAGAGGTCCAAGTTCCTCGACAAGGGGTCCACATACCCACGTTAGAGAAGACTAGCCCCCACCCCCTCCCCTTCACCCCGACCGGGGAAAAGTAAAATCTGTCGGGGACTTTTTTTTTATTAACAAATAATAACATTTTATGTTAATTATGGGATTCTTTATCCTGTCAGAGGTACCAGTCGCCGGTCGCGAATGGTCCGTGACTACCGCAATTGAATAAAGTGGTTAAAATGGAACAGGCCTATCAATAACGTAATAATAATAATAATAATAATAATAATAATAATAATAATAATAATAATAATAATAATGATAATGATAATAATAATAATAATAATAATAATGATAATGATAATGATAATAATAATAATAATAATAATAATAATAATAATAATAATAATAATGATAATAATAATAATAATATAAAAATGAAAGAAGTAAAACGAATCTGTGTAATGTATGCTGCCATTTATGTTTCCACTTCTTCTTAGGCTTTCACAACAAGCTTACATATCGTCATTATTTTTATTTTTTATGGAAAGCTGATTGTGGTTTTTTTTTGTTGAAAATATCAAATAGTAAATCTTTTGTCCTTCAATTAACGGACAGGTAAATAATACATTTCTTGTGTCCTTTCTAAGAACCAATAGACCACAGCAGTGGGGCTCGCGGACCGCATGTGGCTCAACAGTTATTTTTTGCGGCAAGCGAAAATGAATTAAAAACCCTGTAAATCAGCAAAAAATTATTTTGACAATCTGCTTATGTTTTGATAATCATTGAAGACGTATTGTCCCATGAAAAATAATACCAAAAAAAATCATAAGAATCATCATCATTGTCCCATGAAAAATAATACCAAAAAAATCATAAGAATCATCATCATTGTCCCATGAAAAATAATACCTAAAAAATCATAAGAATCATTATCATTGTCCCATGAAAAATAATACCTAAAAAATCATAAGAATCATTTTTGAAATTAACTTGCTTATCAAAATTATCAATTTCAACATAGAAATTAGTGTATTAAAAAAAACAATAATTTTATAGCAAAAAATACTAGAAATACTTCCAGTCACTACTATTAGAGTGGAAAAAATTAAAACGAGTGATGAAAAAAATGTAATCCATTTGAACGACTACTATCGTTTAAATTATACATACAGACAACATAAAATACCGTAGCTTTTAGGGACTTGGCCTTTCCCCTCGATCCCGCTGAATCATTAAGACCATGGAGGTTCTCCCGGCGCTGGTAATGTATCAAGTAGGCCTATGCGAATAATAAATAACGGGAACACTCGACACTCATGGATTTACCATGGAGGTATTATATCTTTATAATAAAGATTTACTCACTGGATAAATTGCAAGTAGGACGATGATGATGGTGCGTGATGCACTGTAGAACTGTCTTCTTGTAATATTGTATACAATTTCGATGAAGAGAAGGACAGTAAGAATCGACAATATACCGCCTATGAGGACCGATATCCAAATATCATTTCTGCTCCTAATTACTTTACAAATGAACAAAAATGAAAAAATATGATAGTAAATGATATTAACAATTAATCTTAAGTATTGCAGACCACTATATTTTAAATATAACAACATGGTCGCCTATTCCAAAACACCATTGAGCTTTCAAACTGCCTTCAATGTTACCGGTATGTAAAATTATAAAGATAGTTCTTTGCATGATAAATAGTTCACTTATGCATACAAGAGGGTATGTGCGAAAATAGGCCTCGCTTGCTTTCTTCGATAATGAGAACGACTTCGGTTATGCCTTATTGTTCTTAGAAGGTTGAAATGGGCTTATATTCATCATTAATTTGTAATCCCGATAATACATGTTTCTATGCCTTTTAAGTCGCAAACATTCACCAGCTTTCATTCGTTGATTGGCGCATAGCAATACACTATCCGTGCGCTGATACAGTGCACTAGACCAATGAATTCAGTACCGCAGTGATGATCAGTGTTATATTAAACCAATATCACAGAGTATACTGTAGTAAGTTATGCCTATCTGTGCCAATGAAGAACTCCTAATGTGTCTCAATATTTCTTACGAACCTTGGATCATTTCTTCAGACGTGGGTGCTTCATCGCTACAGTGGGTCTCATTCATGATTCTCAGCCTATAAACCTATATTTCGCTACGAGGTCTATTTATTATGACCTGCCATATGAATTCCCAGGTTACGAGCTTGATCTCTATTATAAGTTTCAAAGTCCATTGCTGAGGATATCTAATAATGATAAAAATCTTTGACCTTGACGCGAAATATTGAGTAAAGTTTATAACTAAGTGGTAATATGGCGGTGTAATATAGGCCTAATTGATACACCTATCATATTATTATTATTATTATCCATATTATTACTAGGCATAGGCTTATATATTTACTATTATTTTTTATTTATTAGTAGAAACTTAGCATACCTTTATAAAATAATGTATATTTGTATGAATATAAAACAAAATAACCTACACGTGTACTATTATTTTAGACTGGCTACCTCAGCGTGAAAATACAAGTCAACTATTAATTAATTAATTAATTCATTCATTCATTCTTTCATTCAAAAGTGAACGAACTCGATGAACGATATAGTCATGCCCGTACGCAGGGGGAGGGGGTGCGACGGGTGTGTGCGCACCCCCCTCTCCCCAAATTATTGAAGGTCCTCATTTTCCGGGATAGAAAATTCAAGACTACTCCTTCATTTTAGGGATTTTAATTTTGATTGCAGTGCAAGTAATGAGGGCCGGCTTAACCGGTTAGTGTGGAGTTGACAATTTGACCGACTCTAACTCTCAAAGTGTTAACAAAATGGTAATTGTTATTTTATTTAACATATTTATTTTATATAATAAATTCATATAGGTATCAGTATAGCCTATATTTATTTAACAAAGTAATAGAATTGAGAAAAAGTGGTCCGACCAAAGCCGGTGCAGTTCCGACGGCCCTGTAAGAAGATGTATTCTGGCTGTACAGGGTTCTTTCTTCAAAAATTTATGCATTTATGCAGTTCATTTCAACCATTTTCAGGCATCTTTTTGACTTATGAAATCAAATTTCCACCGAAAGGTAGGGAACCAACCCCTTAAATATATGTGTCCCGCATGATATGCGCCCATGGCTACACTAAGAAAAAGCAGACTCGTGTTGATAATGCCAGAGTTAATAGGTAGGGAAATGATTTATTTTTTTAGCAATGTTGTTGCGCGTGCAGGCCGGATCGAAATTTTTGGGCCGAGACTGATGAATAACTGGGATTTACGGTAGTAGCCTAATACAGGCATTTAGGCCTGTAGCTCTCTTATCAGAGAATACCACAGCAAGAAAACGAATCGCGAGATGACAAATGGTCGTCGATGAAGGTTCTTGACGCGAGAGTTTCTTTATTGAAAATTATGGTTTGCATATTGACGTAACATGGTCAGACATGTTCATGCATGACTGCCAAACCGAACACCAATGTTCATTATGCTACGAGAAAGTTTAACCATGCTGTTACTGATATCATGAAGGAAATATCTTAATATATTTCCTCCATGCGGTGATATTGATGGAAACATCATTTTCAAGTAGGTTAGTACCAGTGAACAGTGAAATTACTGGTAGTACTTGAAAGTGCTGGATTCAGTGACGTAAATGTTTCTGTTCACTCGTTATGTTACTGTTTAACGCGGTGCTGCGTTGCAACTCATCATCGCGTAAGAAACATTTCAGGGAATTTCCCATTTTTCCCCCCACTGCGAACGATTGAGGACGAGAGTATTTGTTACAAAAAATAATAAAAATAACGACTAAAGGTACAGGTATTGACATTCTACTTTTTTATACTACTATCCAACTTGGATCTTGGTCTATGTCAACATTGATTGACAATATTAATAATCGTTTACATTGAAAGCGGATCAGACAGATATAGCCTACTAAACCTACGGTAGGCCTCCTAGGCCTAGGCCCCGACTAGCTTGTAGTAGCCGCCTTCGCGAAAGAACAAATTGGGTACTCTTCTGTAGGGCTCTGTTGTTAGGCTAGCTTATATCAACTATATTTTTATACTGTTAGTTCTGGCTTATCTATGAGTATGAATTCTTATAAAATTACTGTGTATATATAGGCGTAGGACCAGTACTGGATAGAGCTGTGCATACCTCCATGAGCCGTGTGTCCAGTACCAGATACCAGTTGAATGATTGATGTATTGTTCAACCTCAATCATCAGTTTGTTTTATGTTTATGATTGCAATAAAGTGCATTTTGAGATTGTATTGACTATGGAGAAGCCTCCTAGGTAAAACTCTCAACCAATCAAATCGAGCTGCCTAAAATATCGCAGGCCGGGCAATATGTTGCATGTTTTATAGAAGAGTAAAAAAATCTTGATGAAGCCAGCATACTGCTGCAAAAAGCTTGTGTAATATTAAATAAATAATTTAAGTTAGTCAATAAAGTTATTAATAGTGTTTTATATCTTAGATTAAAATAGCTTTTTACCCCTACTGCTCTCTGGATTCTTAGCTTATATGACCGTCAAATTCATGTTAGGCTTTATTTTTTTAATTTATTAACTTAGGGAGCCTGTAAAGTAATATTCGAAGTAGGAGTAGGGCTGTGTTCCAACAAAGGGTCTGATTGACTTAACTAGATGAAAGTAAATTTGTTTTCAGTTGTTATAAAAAAAATCTTGTGTTCATCAAATTTCAACCCAGAGATTGAAAAGCAGGCACAAAATCTTTCAACTCGGCTCAGTCTCATCTTACTCTTTTTCCATTTTACTATTTTATATTGACATCAGAGGTGGCTCCAGAAATTTTTCCGACAGGGGTGTGACATTTCCGACGGGGTCCCGAACCAAGGGGCTGACTAGAGCCTTGGTCTGGTCCCAGACTAAAAAGCCCTGTTAAGGTTCATAGGGGGAGCTTTTGTTGCTCTGTATTGCCAAAATTGTGCTTTTAGACCACAATATTAGTGATTGGCAATCAAAATACTGTTACTTGGATAAGCAAATCATTATTATTTTTGTTTAATTAATCCGATGACCTTGGTGTGGTAACAGGAGTCCAGGCCTGTCTGGCAAATTTCCCACTAGCCGGCCACCCTCAATAACAGGACCACTGATTGTCATTTTAATGTTATTTTATCTATTAAGCATAACAAAGTTCAATATATTTCTGAATGTGCTCTGTTTGACCTTTCGTAAATGCTGTTTAAATGTGTTTTTACTTTGTTTTTGTAGAAATATTGATTCTTTTTTTATCCCACTTGCATTGGAGTACTGAACAGATAGAATGGCTGCACAAAGTAGAAAAAAAGGTAAGACTAAAAGTGGAACACTGTGCAATGCTATGTTTTTGTTGTATTATTGTAATTAATTTATACCATTATTTATATCATTAGTCTGTCAATATTTGTAACAATAAGATATTTTTATCTCTTATACAAGACAAACATACACATAATGCTCTTGTACAAATCAATGTCCGCTCTCGGTGAGCATTTGAAGAAGTGTTGTCTGCTGATTGTCCATGATAGACTTAGCGGATTGTCCTTAAAAAACGATCCGTTGTGGGTGCCTTGTGTTATGTTCCTCATGGAATTGCGTGTGTCGACGGTGTGGCTAGATTTACGTCTCACATATGAGGCTTAAGAAACTGATGTGTTTTAGTCATGAGAAAAAATCCTGTCACTGACAGGAATTGAACCTAGAACCCTGAGATGATAAAAGATCCACTCCAAGAATAGTTACGTTGACATAATCCGGGAGCAGATGGCGCTGGGGTTTACGATTTAGGCTTTCAACCTTGAGGTTGGGGTTTGAAGCTTTCACTGTGCAGTTTACTTGTGTCCATTGGCAAGACACTTTACAGTTCCGTTTTGTTTCGTTTATTTATTCGATCAGAAAAAAAAAAGAAATGATCAGGGACAGCTTAAGCAAATGAATCGCTATAACTCAGTTTCCCCCTAAAGTTGTCTCACTTGAGCAAAGAAATTAGAAATGGTATCATATTTATACATTTGTTAACTGTGGCAGCGACAGGATTTCCCTGAAGGAGTGTCCAAGGTCCCCGACGGAGCGAGGGGGGCTGATGTCCCCGATGAGAAAAAGTGGGCGTGGTTGGGCTAAAAACCGACTAAAAACTTTTCGAAATTGGTCCAGGGAGGAAAAAACCTCCGAAAATATGACATTTTAGGGGTTTCAAAAGCTTATTTAATCGAATTTGGAGTCAGTTAATATGTAAAAAAATACATTTGACTTTTTTCTCCCTGACTAATGGTTTTCTCCCAGATGGGGGGGGGGGGTGGGGCAG